GCCAAAGGTGGGACTAGAACTCCCAGTCTCCTGGTGATTGGTCCAAAACCATCCATCCAGCTTTCCTACCTAAGGTGGGGCTAGAACTCATCTTGTGATTGGCCCAAAGTTACGGCCGGACTTGAACTCCCAGTCTCCTGGTGCCTTAATCCCTGGACCAAACTGACTCTCGTTACCTTTTCAAACGAATACAGAAACTGCTGGGTTGTTTTTTTTACACAGAAGAGCAGCACTAAAACTTACTTTGAAAAAACCTCCAAAATACAACGAGAGAAAGCGTAGCTGTTTTTACATTTGTCTGGCAAAAGAGTTGACAACCTGGACCTGAACATGAATTGGCTTTCAGGGTAGAGAAACGGTTAACGCTCTCTTTCTTGTTTTTGCCAAGATTAATTCAAACCGTTCTCTGCTCTTGGCAGCAGTTTGCATCTACCTGAGGATGTTGCTGGAAAGATGCAAATACTCTCCTGGGGTTTTTCTTCCAGGCTCCCGGTAGTAGTAAGGGTGAGATGGAGGATAACATCTTGAGATGTTCTCCAAGGTGCTATAGGACAATGAGTTTAGAGAACTTAGAAAAAAGTTCAACAAATTTATAGAAAACGTATCAGTCGCTTCCTATATTTTTTAATAGCTGAGAGGAATCAATGCAACATTACACCTTCCAATATCTTAGGACGTATCTTCAAACTCTCTGGTTGTTGTAAGAACAGGTGGTATTATTAGATGGATCACCACTTAATTCAAGCAAGACACCTAATTTTGATGTGTAGCTGACCAGTAATTTATAGGAAAAGGTTTCCCGATGCCTTTAATTACAGTGAAAGATTGCAGGAATAACAACACGTGGAAATGAAACTTTTGTTTTCTAATTCTGTAGCATGAATAAAAATTCTTGAGTTGTGTCTTTTTCTTTCAACGTGACAGAAATATATGACAGTCAAATCTAAGGTGGGGTGGTTTTTTGGGGTGATTTTGTTTTAGAAAGTTAGAAACACTACAAAGTTCAACTCCACCCACAGAAATATTGTTCCTTCCCTGCGATAAGAAATTTTTAAAAAGTAAAGAAATTAGAAGTGAACAAAGGCTTAAGTGAGATTGTTGCAAACAAAATAGAACATGAATTGTGAAAATTATTTGCAATACCTGGGAAAAGGGCAGGCAATCTCGTGCTTGCTAGTATTTTGACAATTACCGTTTGCTGTTGACCAATTCTGCAAATAAGGAAGCAGTTGTAACCCAAACCACTTATGTGCAGTTTACACATTGGCATTTTTGTTCGTTACAAAGTGCAACTATAGAAAATTCATTGCTGTCAGCATTGATTTCATGTGAGAAGCGAATTCAAAACCCGGGGTGGTTTAGTAAATCACTACCCAGTAAGTTACTGCAGCATCCGCAGCTTAAGTGCAATCAAAGAAAATGAGGCAGGATAGTCCCTAAATCAACATTAAAAAAAAAAATGATTTAAATTGCTGAAGATGAGACAGAATTGCCTTCATATCTTTCCTTCTTCAGCTTCCTGGGTCATTCTGACCTGTGAGCTTGTCATTATCATTGTGAGTTCCAACTGCCTACTTTCACCTCTATAGCTATTCAAAAGTGGGCCCTGGTGGAAAAGGATGTTCAGAATCTAACCAAAGCACTTCGCCTCCTAAGAGACGGAGGTAAAGAACGCTCTGCAAACATGGGAATTGGCAGCAAGAACAAAGAATCCTCTTAAGAGAGTAAACATTTCCAGGCTGCGTCTAGTAGAAACCTCGGAGCTCATGGAAACGTAACCGCCAAGATGCTAATGATGTCTGTTCTGCTAATTTCACCCAACTTAACTTCCACCCAACTTTTGGCGCCCAGCCTAGTTAGAACTGAACATGATTTTGTAAAAAGTTAGCACCCATTCTCCTAGAGGAATGAAATATTTGGAGAAATATTTTAAAAAGGCAGAATATTATATTTCCCTGGATGAGAAATGTGTTTTTTTTAGAGGGAGAAAGCAGACCCCACTTTCTGAATAGCCCTCAGCAGATGTCAGCACTTAAGAGATAAAAAGCTTATTGAAAGAAGAAGCCAAGTATCTGGGTAGCTTTATTCATAGGCAAAAATTCCCTGCAACAAGGTCTGAACAAAGGTAGGATTAGCTCTCAGCCACAATAGGAATTGCATCAGCAGTCCAAACTTCAACCAAACTTAGCTCAGACAAACACCTAGAATTTGTACTCTGCCTATAGAGCCAGCTATGACCCTTACATGACCCCATCGGAATCTGATAACAGCTAATACAGGGGTCTTCAAACTTGACAGGTTTAAGACTTGTGGACTTCCAACTCCCAGAATTCCTCCT